GTATGTAATGATATCGTTCACAACAACCTTCAGCATGATATTGGAAGAAACAATGTATTTAATTTTATTTCCTATCCTCTTAATGTTTTTATTTAACTATGTGCATTGGCTAAAGTATATTATAGTACATTAAAAGTTGTACTGATGATGTTCAACACATTCTATATATACATTCATACTTATCTTTTTTTGTTACCAAGGATATGTTTAATAAGCCGTAGACGATTTGTTTTAAACGTACTACAAGTAGATGGTTGTGATGTAAAAATATTAACTAAATAAAATTAATAAAAATTAAAACAATTCGCTGGTTTAGTGTTGGCTTTGACTTTGGAACAGGATAGTCGGGGTCTATCCTTGCCATGCGCAAAAACATCAGTGTTTATATATATATCATTCATACAAAATACCAGTACGCCAGTGCTAACAGCTAGCTTTGGTGGCGCATAATTTTGTAGTACTGACAATAAATACTGTATAGTTACCTAATTACCTGATCACTTAATACCTGTAATTAGGTATACTAGTTGTATAACAATTCCTATTTTAGTATCTTACTTCTCCCTCCAGCTGTACAAGATGTTTGGTCTATAATACCCTTCCAGCTAAGGGTAAACAACACAGCACAACTAGGTCATCAGCAACTGGACCCTAACGAGCTCTCTTGTACATCTGGCAATTAGTTCATTGATTCTGCTACATGACGTGAACACTGTGAGTTTATTGAAATATAAAATATATACATATAAAGAATATGAATTAATAATTTTAAGATACTACTACTATAAATAGTGACATTATTAACGTAGGTTTTTTCCAAAAACCTCACAGATGTAAGATGATGATAAGATTGTTCAAAGTGGAATAAAAAATACATTTTTTATGTTTAGTACAAAAACGATAATGATAATATTATACAACATTTTAGAAAACGTTTCCTCGTAATTTCATATGAAATATTGATACTAACAAGTGTAAAAAGAATTGGCTTCCGTTAAAAATTCATCGTGAGTTTTATGTGATGGTTTTGTCATGTTAGTGGGTTATTTAGTCATAAACACTCCAAAACATAGTTTAAAACATTTTAAAACTAGATATAAACGTTCAAATTTCTTGAAAAACTCAACCTTAATCGTAAAAAAACACGTATGTGAGGGCATATTGTAATAGATGGATGTCCCTTATTTTTATCTTGCTAGGCAACAACAGAAAAGGGGATAACTTGAAAATGCAATTATTTTTAAATACCACATCCATTACACGACGTTTATAGATGCTTAATTCAAACGGAATTAAGCTGTAAGTAAGAATTAATTACTATGTTATCGTTAGCATAATGATTCTTTGTTGTTGTTGTTGTTGAATTGTGGAAATGGCATGTCGATGGAAGGCACAGTTATTCGTTTTTAAAATGTAGTATAGCATTAAATCGACCCATATATTAATATATTTTGCTACATAAAATGTTATTTTTCTAAATCACTATCAAATAAAATGTAGAAAATCTATTTTAAGAGCTGGCCTCAGTCAGTTGCAAGGTTACAAAGAACAATCCAGACTGACCTGAGGCGTGTGAGATATAAAAACATAAAAGCTGTATATATATGTAATATAAAGAAAAAAGGATACCGTTGAAAATAATGAAATCCAAATGGTATGTGCAAAATATGATCAAAACAATATTTTTCCAAATTTATTTAAAAAGAGTCAATGGTTATATCTAGTTAAGTAACTTAGTTCAAACAGATCACTAGTTACTGGACAGTAAAGTTATCGGAGTAGACTAGCGCTGACCACTAACAAGACTTCAGCCCAGGCCTGGAGGGTTTGTAGACTACCTTTGACTTATTACAGAGGGTTTCATTGACTTGTGTAACTGGATACCTTACAAACTAACGTTGTTTGCGAAGTTAGGCATTATGTATTGTAGAACATCAAAATTAAACAAGTAGAATGTTAATTATCTGTTTTATTTCAAAGATTGAATCATGTGTTAGGAAAAGTGGTTTTAGTGTGAGAACTTATTTAGATAATATACAGGATGTGTATTTGTTATTTATTTTAATCATAAGATACTAAATACCTTTATTAACTTGTATTAAGTAGTGACGTATAATAAAAAATAAGTCCACTTCATACTTCAACATAATTAGTTACGTATTAATGGTATTATTGGTTTTCTCCAATGTCGTATTTTGGTCTTTAAAAGAAAACTTACATGACTTCAGTCCAAACCTACAAAAAATATTGAAATATACATACTCATCTACGAACCACCAATAATGAAATGAAATAAAATTCTTCTTTATTGAGGCGAACTAAGGACCTCACGGTCCTTTCTTACAGTTAGCCTAAAAAACTAACAATAATCATAAAACATTAACAAAATAAAAAGCAAAGTTTACAATAAACAAAGAGGTGTCAAAAAACATTTTATAAATTTATTTCCCTAACACACAATCACACACACAATATACACCCTCTGCTGCACCCAGGCCTATTAATTGATACATCCGAAAACTACGGTCTCAGTGATATATCAATGGTTTTATATTTTCTGATTATTTAAATGTATATATATATATATATATAAATAATTGAAAACATTATAAATATATATATATATATATATATAAATAATTGAAAACATTATAAATATATATATCAGCTATGTTTTACCACTTTAGGGTCGTTAAAGAACAAATAACGAGACAGTTGCAGTATTGTACTATTATTTTATTAATTCACTGTTAAATATCAAACAACTGGGAGCAATGCCAAGCTGATTTTTCTTTTTATTTTACACTGCCACAATGTTTGGCTAGGGCAGAAACGTTTCGGTCATTTTTTCTTATAAAATGGACAGTTAATCATAACTACTTAAATTGAACTAGTCAATAGATTCTGTGATGCATTACGAATGCTTATAATGCGAATGCCATTCAGAGTATGATGGAAAATTTCATATGTGGTTTAAGAATTAGGCTTTTATGTATAGTCTTCAGTTGCTAGGCTTGTTGCATTATTTTCAATGATTCCAAAAATAACCTGCATATGATTATTTCATGTTTTTAGAGAATGCTTTGTGAATAACTTGTCACCTTACAAAGAAAGTTATTCAACGAGTTCTCTGGCAAATCCGCTGCCGACCCTGAGGAAGGAAGTAATCAAATTTAAGACAACTTGAGTGAGAATAAAGTATTTTTGTGGGCGAAATGGGAAAAATAATAAAAAAAGAGTTCAATGGCCCTCTGAATAGTAATGTTGAAGGAACAAGATCCAATTAAAAGTCCTATTTCTTTTAAGGAACACATCAAGTTAAAATACGTTTTTCACCTACACTTCCCTCTGGTCATTTTCTGGGAGGCACATAAAAATGCTTGAAAAATTAAGCTTTTAATATATTATTATAAAGTACCAATAATAGTGGCCAAATTACTTAAACGAAATTAGGCCTACGGTGTATGAATAAAAATCTATGTTAGCTTACTCTACAACTAAACCTCCCTTTACATATTTTACAGATAAGGAAGGATATATTACAAACCTTTTGATAGTAATATAAAGTTCTTCAAACACAAAATATTTCATACATTGACTTACCAAGAATGCAGCTATAAAGAAATAAGTTGGAACGAAATTTTATTTTTTCTAGGGTAAATATAGAGATGCCATTTGTAATACGATTGCAATGACATATATGTATAATTGAACATTACATAATAATTACCTATATTTATTATTTACTTTGAAAACAAAAAATGTTTTATCAGCCCTCATAATTGTCCCCAATGTTATATTTATATTTATTAATTTGATGACGCCAGGGACTATTTAAACTCTCTTTAGGGAAGAGTAAACCAATTCTATAAACTGTGGGTAAATTACTCTTTACTCACCAAACTCATCAACTTCCGTGTTTACTTTTTATTTCTATAGATTACAGTTCATCTTCTATGATAATTTAAAATTAAGTTTTTGGTTAAATTTCACTTTGGTTTATGTAAATGACATTTTAAGGATATTTACTAGGGAAAATGTTTGATACTTATTTTTAATTTTTTTTTACTTATTCATTGTTTAGGGGTTTTCCCTGAAATAGTAAAACAAATATAAATAATGTTTATATGCCTTTATTTTCGTGTTTGTTCAATATTGTTAAACTGTATCTACCACTATGGTTTTGACAATAGTTGCCAAGTAAGGTAGGTGACCATCACGCAACCAGCGACCAAGCACCGGTTATAGAGTAAAACAATTTTTAATCTGACACAAAAATAAAGGTAAATAAGCCACTATATATATTTACTTACTATTATTACAAATAAAATAATTTCATTTGACATCTATTCAATTAAATATATTGCATAAACCTTGTGACAGTGTAGATATATACCTAATTTCCTATTTATTTTAAATAACACAATTTAAATTAAACTCATTCCTACTAAATAACGAATTATTAATTTATAGCTATAAAAAATTACCTTGTTTGAATACCATCCGGTACTTTTTTTTATGGAGAGGAGGGAAAATGCTTTTACGCACACAGGTAGCTAGCCTGTAGTGTGAGACTCCTGAATCTATCACAGACTACTTACTAAAAACACCCCCTCTACTCTGTTGGACACAGACCTGGAATTGTTTGTCACATTACTTCAAGTTAGGCCAACATGTGACCTAAGCCCGCAGGGCTCTCACCGTTTTTGGCATTTAGATACTTCATGACCTACACCGCATCCCGGTCAAGGTCGAGCTTCTTGGCGCGGAGAATGCCCTGGATGTAGTGACACACAGGTCCAATTCCAATTGTCATCATCGGTATGACCGTGTCCACTGACAGCAGTCCTACTAACTGTTGAGCCTCCAGGCGGGGCCTTTCCCAACGCTGGCAGTGGAAAAATGTATGTTCCACGTCATCCGTTACCATCCGGTACTAGTTTGATATGAAACAAGAATTTAAAAAAATGCCCACATTATATTAACTTTACAGTTGTATTTTTAAACTATTGCATCTGTGTTTACAAAAATAAAATGAATTTATTTATTTTCTTCCTCCATTGGTTTAAGACAGGCTTTAAAAACAGTTTCTAAAATCCTTTGACCGACTCTTTTGTAAATTTCGTTAAGGGTTTGGGACGATTCACTGAATTCTATATTAATAGCTTCTCCAACTGAATTCACTACTTCAGTTAATCGTTCTTCATTAAGAGATCGTAAACAAGCGGTGAACATGTCGTTGGCCATCCATGATTTCATCTGATCCATCTCTAACATCCTTCCAATAGGCTTGTTATCGTATTCCGTAGCTGACTGGCTATGGTAGACGGTTTGTCCATCTTCTATATCAGTTCCCACTGCAACTGATATAGGGACAGATATAGTAATCGTGCCCGGGTGAGTTGTTTGTGGAAATGTATTTGCTTGTGGTCTTGCTGTTGGCGGTGTTGTCCATCCATCAGATTCCGACCTTTCGTCGTCAAAATCTCGGTATTGTGGTATGACTGATGCCGTACACACAACACACAACGTCTGAAATTAAACATAATAATTAGGGAATTTAAAACAACATAACTAACATAAATAATAATAAATAAACATAAATAATACTTTATGCAAATAATTTAATTGAAATTAAAAAGTGTTACTAGTCTTATGTTACAATTGTTCAGTCAAGTTGCCTTTGTTTTTATATCAATTTTATATGTCTTTGTTTTTAACAGTCCGTCTGTAATTCCCATCACATTACCATATGTCAATTTTCATTGTTGCATTCATTCTTTTCGAATCACCGCTCATAACATCACGCATTCATTTTTCTCGTAATAAATTATCCTCTTTATACTAAAACCCTAGACTTTTTCCTCTCTAATATCAATACACCGCACATTTTTGGTCCTATCGAGCCGCGGATTATATCTACGAACATTAGTGCGACTTTTACTCAGTTTATTTTCAATGTCTCGGTTGAACGTATTTCATTCAACGTGAAGCCGCCAAGGACAATACTGCATCGCCATTTTGAGCTTTTCGTCTACGTCACGATACAGTCCACACTCCTCTCATTCCAAGTGTTCAACATCGTCATCGTTCTACTAGTTCCGCTCCGCATTCATCACTTCGACATCGACTTCATTTCGTCTACGTCGCTGCGCAACGTCAAACGTCAAGAAACTCAAAAGTAAGGTTATGTTTGTACTTCGAAGACAAAGCACCGCATCTCATCGTAAGTTATCAAAATAAATCAATATCAACATGGAAATAATAAAGAAAACCTGATTTTATTCCTCACTCGTCCTTATCCTCAAATTACTCCGTACATTTACAATATCTCGACTACTTACTTAACTAATTGAACGATCTAGGCCTAGCTTTCAAAATGAGATTTTCCACATTTTCTAATAGATGCAAATTGCAATTAAATAAATTAAATACGATCAGTGAGTATATTCAATCATGTCCATCAGAAATAACAAAGCTCAAACCGCTAAACTTAACCTTTTTTTGCACGAAGCTAAAACCATTTCTGCCAATTTTGAATCTAACCTGCTAGATAAGCTTCTTGACGTTGATGGCGATACTAACGTTTTTTCTGACAATGAAGAAGCTTTTTTAAAGCTCCAGAACGACATATCACAACTCTCAATTAACATTCAAACCAAAATTTCTCTTCAAATTCAGAACTTTAATGATGAACACTTGTCAAATAACTCTGTAACATCAAACCCAACCTTTAGGCCTACTACTAGCATTGTAAAATTGCCTAAGCTAGAACTGAAGTCCTTCAATGGTGACACTAAAACATGGATATCCTACATTAACCTCTTTGATACTACTATCCACAACAATAGTAGCCTATCCCTTGTTGAAAAACTTGATAAGTTCACTTAATGGCGAAGCCTTACACTTAATCAAATCCCTACCCATCTCATCTGGCAACTATACAGTAGCCTGTAATGCTTTACGGGAAAGATACCACTCGAAGCGTAGGCTAATCTCTGTCCACCTCAGTAAAATTGTCGATTTGCCCAATATAACTGACAAATATATCAAAAACCTTAGATCATTTATAAATGAGTTCAACGAAAATGAACAAGCACTTAGTGTTCTTGACTATAATGTCATGGAAGACAACTACCTACTAAGTATGTTGATCTTACAAAAAATGAATTCCAACCTCTGTCAAGTTTTTTAATCAAAACGCATAAATTCTTCTGATTTTCCTCAAGCAAGTGAAATAATTAAATTTCTTAAAGACTTTTGTAACAGCAGTGAAGATGCCTCTTTCTGTCACGCTCCACAAGTAGCTCCTCTCCAAATATCCAACCCTCACCAAGTTCCACGTCAAATTGATGAATCAATTCAGTTTCAACGTCCTCCTATGGCTTTGATATGTACTTCAAATGATTTGAAATGTTTTTTCTGCCATAAAAATCACAAAATATACAGTTGACCTGTCTTTAATAGTAAAACCCCTCAAAAAAGGCTTAAAGTTGTACGCGACTTAAAACGCTGCACAAATTGCCTTGGTAATCACTTTGTTAAACGCTGCAAGTCGACTAATACTTGTAAGACCTGTTTGAAACTTCATCACACACTCCTTCATTTTTTGAAGCCTACTAATCCTATGGCTGATAACAGAAATCACTCCAACCAAGAACAAAAAGAAGCAATAGCAAACTCAAAACCTTCGAAACTGACAGCTGTAACTCCTGGCCATTTTCTTATCAACTCTTCTCTGACAACTATTCCTGACCCAACAAAGATCTCACCTCTTATTGATAATTTACCTCAAGACATCACCCAAAGCCTATGCTGACATTGGAGTCAAGAATATTTTAAGACCCCTCATCAGCGTTGTTTCAAGTGGAACCTCAAGAAAGAAGACCTCAATGTGTATACCCTGTTTGCTAAAACACACCAGCTCCTCCTAGCTACAGACCAGCTGATCCTCATTCAAGACCATCATTCAAAATGTCTTCATAAGCTGCATTCTTAATATTATTCTTCAACCCACTCTGGTCAATTCTCATAAACATTTTATATTTTTTCAATTTCTCTTTTGTTGAACCTTGTTGGTTCAAAGGGGGTGGTATGTTCAGTCAAGTTGCCTTTGTTTTTTGTATTAATTTTATATGTCTTTGTTTTTAAAAGTCCGTCTGTAATTCCCATCACATAACCATATGTCAATTTTCATTGTTGCATTCATTCGTCTCGAACCACCGCTCATAACATCACGCATTCATTTTTCTCGTAATAAATTATCCTCTTTATACCAAAACCCTCAACTTTTTCCTCTCTAATATAAATACACCGCACAAAAATCATGATAGGTTTAGCAAAGGAATAATAGATATGTGTCACCTTAAGTTAATGTTATGTTTATAACTGATTTTGTATTTGAAATATCTTCAATTATATTTGATTTAATATATTGAAATGCATAACTTTGATCAACGTCTTTATAAAATAGAATCGTCTGAAACCCTTTGCCACTGACTTCTATGTGTCTGAATGGCTTGAGGATTAGCGTTAGTTATGACCAATGAACCAATCCCTGAGTAAGTCAAACGCGTTTTATCCCAGTATTCGACGGTTATTTAATTATCAAATCTTGTATATTTAAAGAATAAATCGTAGATTATCACTGATTGTAAATGCTTATTCACGGGGTTTGATATTTCAATTTACAAGGGTGAATTGCTTTTAGCGAATTTTCCTAAGTAGCTATTACCGTATTTCTCATGGTAAGACCTAGGCCCGGGACCGATTTACTATTTCATTTTGATGCCTCCAGAGGCCAAAAACACCATTAGTTCAAGTTTTGATACATTTAGATGTATACTGTATCTATATATGTGTGTCCATCCGGACGATAACTTGAGTAAATTTTGTTCGATTTTGATAACATTTGGTTTGAAGGTGTAAAGCGGGACACACTTGAATGAGTTCGCGAACTAGCATGATCGGACCATGGGATCAGGGTTTAATGTGGGGTTTTATAGGGTAAAAAATGGGGTTTTCTAATTTTATACCCTTAAAACAAATTATTTATCAATTTTTCTCCAGACCTTTTTAAAGAGCTTAAAAACCAAATTATTTAGTATATGAAAGTGTTTTTGTACGGTGATTGGTTAGGGAGATAATTCCAAAAAAGTGCGATTCTTATGGAGAATTGTATAAAATGTTGTATTTGGATTGTTCATGGATATATTTTGATCAAACTTGGCGGATTCATTAATTCCACACTAAGATATTGATATTTTAATAAAAAACACACTTAATTGGTTTTTTTGTAGCAGCTAACCTAGGTACTTGTCAAACCTTAATGTTAATTTAATAGATTAATTGAAAATCAATCCAAGTAAATGGAAATTCACTGCAGGTTTGCTGCATCAGGGACATTTAATTGTCAATTGGGTTTTGTGTTGTAAAGATATGGGAGAAATATTTAACTCTCTTTTTTATTACAAGGAGTTTGGCTTATACCTTTATATTACAAACTAAACCTAAATACGTCATATACATACATAGTCGGTAGTGTAATACCAAGGAAAAAAAATCTTCTATTTTTAATAGTTTCATTATCAGCGAGATGAAAAGTAAATCGTTTACTTATAGTTGAAAAGGTCCTAAGCTAGTTCATCCAATACAAGTTAACATCTATAGAAAGAGAAGTGTAGAAATAAAATTGTATTTCTTTTATTGTTTTTTTTTTTAATTTTTACCTTTGACCGTTTTTTTAATGTAGCTGTTTTAGTTCATTTCTTAGAATTGAAAATTTTCACATAACAGCACCGTTTACTTTCATAACAGCATAGTTTTACTCATAACAACACGGGTAACGGACCATTGAGGTTCAAGGATTGAGAAAGAAAAAGTAAAACTGTAATGGTTTGAACACTAAACAACTATTCAGGCCAATTTAATTGTTAAGAGGTGCAATTAGTGTTTGGTACAATGTTTCGTTCGTCAGTGACAATGAAAGGTTATGAACGAAAACATAACCTCTAGAAGCTATGAGTAGTGATTTTTAGTAGTTAACACTCTGTCGTAAGTAAAGTAGTGTTCGCAGCTTGCGTAAATAGTGTTAACGACACTTTTAGAAGTTTTTGAACTTAAATTTTCTACTCCTGTCGTTAACACAATCGTCGCGTAAACTACCATCACAGCAGCATTTAGTAATAAATAATAAAGAATATATAATATTTCAAAATAAAGTATTTTTTAGTTAAAATATTTTTTTTACTTTAATACTATTCAATTGAAGTGTTGTGCAATAAACTTTAAATTCAGTGTGCACAGACTTTACTCCTAACTTAGCTATGTTTCTAAATATAAATATTTTATAACTATTTTACGGTGTTTGGTGAAGATATTTTTTGAATTATTCATACTGTCAGTTCAGAAGTTTTATATTAATTAAAAATGGAGAGCTTAAAAATTTAGAAAAAAATAGTTAAATTTGTTTTATTTACATTTGATATTTACTCCCAACGTAGGTTAAAAGTCAACAATAATAATATACAGCAATAAGTTCACTACTTACAAACAGAATGTACCCAGTTGAAGACATATTGAGGTTTGAAAGTAAAACAGCAACAATCTGCTTGTTTAAATAGGCGCGGTAGTTTTTACGCGCTTTGTAAATAGCATTTCAAGAAAATACATTAGGTTATTTACCATACTTAGCTATGCCTATTTTAGTACCTATCCTAAACCGTTCTAGTTAAATATAAAATGCCGTTTTAAAGCTTGTAAAATAGTTATAATATTTCTAAGTAACAAAACCACCTAAAATAATTGCATGTATTAATATCTAGGCCTACCACCCTTAATTTTTGGGATTTTGGTTTTTGCAAGGAATAATAGTATCACCGTTTTTAGCAAAGGTGTGTTAGCAAAGCAAAAAATTTCAGAATTGCCTTAAACAATAGGCTGAAATCATTATGAACACGAAAATTTGATGGTATGCGTTCGAAATCTACTTTCTCGGCACAATAAATAAATCAAAGAAAAAAACTTGTATTAATCCTTTAAAAAAGAAGTCTAAAAGTATTTTAATCCAATCAGTTTTAACCGTTTGTTAACTGAAGGAAAATTTACAACTTGTTTTTTATTATCAAGTCCCAACGGAAGATTTGTGAGATCCTGATGGTTGAAATATTTATGAAACAATATTACTTATTTAATTGTTCAATCAATTTATATTTAATGCCTGAAGATGGAATGGTAAATTAATGGATTTATAGTTGTTTAAAAGTTGCTACCTAAATAAACAAAGCTATTGCTACTGAATTTTCGCTGGAAGTGCGATATAAGAAATTTATGCAAATTCCTTGGAGCATCGTGGCCATCTTGGTTTAATTTCAAACAGCTGCTGAAGAGTTATTTATAATCCCATTTTTTTATGCTAAAGCTATTGTAATTCAAATATCGAGGGCACTATGAGATCATAAATTCGCTTTGTGGTTTTATAATTGATTTCCAAGGGAGTTCTTAGAAGCTGACGGCCATCTTGGATTTGCTCGCCATTAAAAGCAAGGTTAATTGCGTCGCTGAAGGGTTATTTACCAACTTAAAATATTTGTTCATATACCAAAGGGATTGTATTTTAAATATCTAGGGAGGTGCGAGATAAGAAATTATCTTTGTAGATTTGTAATTGTTTTATGATTACAGCTATGTAAGAAGGTTAAATTATTTGTTAATGTTGTACAAAAGTGTCTACAACTAACTTAAACGAACTGTAAACAATACAGAGAACAACTAGGTCATCAGCAACTGGACACTGAACCTTGTACATCAGGGAATTAGTTTAAAGAACGATTCTTTTGGATTAGCAATGAAATTATTTTAAATGTTTTGGAATGTAATATGGACATAAAGTTGTGCCCCACCCACTATGTATTAAAATATTCAATTTAAACTAAAAATGTGATAACAAATAAACAAATGAACTTACAACCAAAATATATTAGTTTTGCAGTTTCACAGAAGTCGGACAATTTGATTTCTTTAAATTAATTAAAGAAATGAATTAATTAGTGTCCATCTACACTAATTGTAAATTTCGAGGTGTTTGAACTGCACTGATGATCATTTCGATTTTGTCATAGTACCACGTTAAAGATTACCGTCTTTACTAAACTAGATTGAAATAATGGTCTTCTAGTTGCTTATTATATTGAATGTTCTAAGAAACACGCCCGGAAAGTTCCGTATCAGTCTCTGTCAGCTTAGAAAGGTTTTTAATTACCGATAATACGTATATTATAATTGATTAATTTAATGACAATAAGTAGTTAGACTGAAACATTTTTCAAAGTGTTAAGGGCAGTATTCTTAGTTTATTATTTATTTGTTATAGAGAATGTTTACGCATAATTTTCATTAACCAGCAGTGGATCACTGTGAACTAGGCAGTTATGTGTGGTCAAAGTGGACCGTAACTGACCACAAACTAGGCTCCAGTTTTAGGCTTTGTAGACTACCTTTGACTAACTACGGAGGATTTTTTCGACTTAGGAATATAGTCTGAAGTTTCAAATTATAGTTTGGTAAAACTGTAATACCAAAAAGGTGATTTGATATATTCTTTGGCTTTTGGAGTTTGTGACTTTTCGTCTTAGAACCAAATAGATCTAAAAAGGTCTACGTTACTTGCCCAGTGATTGTTTCATTCGACGTTGATTCATTACATATCATCGCTTCTTTCTTGAATGACCTAAGATATTTGAAAATAACACCCTGACAGGATTTCACAGTTCATACAAACTTTAAAACAATATTATTTTTAAATTTTGCCGAAGTTAACTATACATATTGAATACAATTTCTTGCATTTACTATTTTTTTCATTACGTTAATCAAGTGTTAAATAACTTGTATGTGTAAATGTCTATTCTATAATTTGTAAAACGAATTCCCTGAGAAAGTCTCCAGTAGCGCTGAGAGTGAGAAGTAATTAAATTTACAACGTGATGCAAGAAGTTGCAATGAAGTATCCTTGTGGGTAAAACAGACAGAACACACGACAAAGGAACTTTCAACGACTCTCTGGAGGATTAATGTTTTGTCGGTCGTTAAATTAATCTACTAAGTTAAACTAAATGTTATTTTATAGCTTCAGTGAAAACCAAGCTTAAATATTCGCTTTTATATAGGGATACAACCTGTACCATTTTTGTGTGATTGTTCCATGCATAGAGACAAACAGATCTATAATATAACGAATGGTCTATCTTGACTAGTTTTCCGTCTATTAGACTATTAGACTTTTCCAAAACATTCATAGTTTTGGGTAAGAATCAATTTCATAGTAAATTAAAATGGCTTTTAATGGACCAATTAATTAGTGGACCACTATATATGTGGTCTTAGACCTACGCATTTCCTGTGGCGTCGAGTGGATCGACTGTTGTTTGGGAAGTGGATAGTTTAATGGACTTTGGTAAGGGAAGAGAGTGGTTGGGAAACCAAGCTTTTCGTGGTTTTCTTAAAATAGTCCACCTATGAGTTTAAGTTTTTAAATATCAAATTAACGGCACAATCACCATTACCATAAATTATTTACCGAATCAATTTACTAACAAAGATAAAACCTACGTACTTTGAATACTAATTACTGAAACCTTACAAGTTAGTTAGAGAGGTACTTTGTTTATCCAAGAAAACTATTAAATTCTACCAGCCCATGTAAATTACCATACAATAGTTTAATTTTGGATGTGTGGTAAGTAATTTTGCCATAATATTTAAAGTGATTTACTCAATTCTTAAACAACGTTGCTGGAAATAGTTTTATTTTCATGCATTTATTTAATTGGCCGTATGAAGTAAAAAGAAAACCCCCTGATAAAAGTACTCCCAATTAAAAAAGCAAAACAACTTGTTTTAACACTACAGTTGCATCTAAATGAACATTATGCCTAATAACAAGTTATTTATTGTACTTGCAGTTATACAGATACCACAAATTGAAGTTGATTTGGAGTTCAGCAAACCAATTGTATAAAATGCCAGAAAATAACTCTTTACTCTGCAAACTCATCATCTTCCGTGTTTACTTTTATTCTCTCTGATTACTTTCTTCGTTTAATGGATGCTATAAACTCAGCTCAGTGTAACATTTTAATACGTTTTAAGGAGTTAAAGCTATTCCAAGTGAGACAGTTCACTCAACTTTGTTTTGTTTTTAAATGGTTTTAACAACTTCTAGCTTAATGCTGTATAAACAATTTTTCTTTAGATAACAAAGTCAGCTTTTCGCTTTTGAGTTCCGAAAAAGCAATATTATTTTTTTTTTACTGCCTTATGGTGGTTAACATCTCAGCTAGGTTTAGCTGACTCCAGCATCTTGAAGTCCAACGAGGGCACATGCTACCTAAAACGAAATTAGCTAAGTTTTCTTTAGTACGTACCAATACTTAGCTATTAGCTAAACATTAATACTTCATACAAATAATAATACATGAACTCTGGAGTAGATTAATCAAATGCACTTTACACGCTACTTAGATATCTTAGTTTTTTGTCATAATTATCTTGGACAAAAGATTATGACTAACTTGCAGCATATCACTACTAACTAGGCAGTTAAATGTGGTCAAAGAGGACCAGAACCGACCACAATCAAGGCTCTAGTTCATGCTTTAGGGTCTGTAGACTACCTTTGACTAATTACTGAAGGTTTCATCGACTTAGGTAACTGAATGTCATGCTAAGTAACATTGTTTGTAAATCTTTGACATTTGTAATAATAATTTGAAAGACGCTTGATAAGAAAAAATACCGATGATTTTGAAATTGACAAAAAAAGTTAAATTACTTGTTATAACTTGTTATTAGTTTATTATTATTCATGTAGATGCGTTCTTCAGATTATTAGTGTTTATGGCTTTTCGTTTAAGAAGGCAAGAAGTTTAAACAGGCAATTTTCAAATTTTGCTAAATATAATATTTCATTCATTATCCGTCAACACACTTTTGTCAGATGGTCTGAAAACCACAAAAGGTATGTGAGGAATGCATAAAGTATAAATTTCGGTACAGATCAAAATTGAAATTCTAACCATCATATGTTTAGAAAAATAATAATAGTGACGTTAATCATATAATTACGATGATAACAGTTTGAATACTTTTAGATACTATCAATTGTAAGCTGCGTATTTGTAAATGAATTCCCTGAGAAAGTCTCCAGTAGCGCTGAGAGTGAGAAGTAATTAAATTTACAACGTGATGCAAGAAGTTACAATGAAGTATCCTTGTGGGTAAAACAGACAGAACACACGACAAAGGAACTTTCAATGACTCTCTGGAGAAGTAATGTTCCGTCGGTCGTTAAATAATTCTACTATGTTACAACTGAATCTTAATTTCACAGTTATAAACGTTTAATAACTACATATAAATAATCTAAATTTTCATATATTCCAATACAATAATAGCTTGTTAGTTTTTTAATTTATCAGCTATTTTACACATATTAACCACATTTGAATAATAATATTATACCATAAATTTGTAACAACAACAAAACTTAGACTGATATCTCTAAAACTATTAAAACATAAAAATCTCATATATTTTATTTTTCAAACAGTTGACTTACCATAAAAACCAACCA